ACACACTGACTGGACACTACAGGACATTAACACTGTTGAGAGACTCACCAATGCCTAGCGACAGCCTCTGAAACTCAGGAGTGAGGTAGGAGGTCTTGGTGAGGCTGTACAGGTATCTCTCCAGCACATACCAGCACATCTCATAGTAGAAAGGGTAGCGAAACTTCGTAGGTACCTACAGCGAGATGGACACAGGCAGAAGAGTCAGGCCATTCTCTTTCATTCAAGCCGTATGGCACAAGCAGAGCCACAGCAGTGTGACCGAGTGGAGACTCACTCTGGTCCTGTCCTCAATGCTGTAGATGTGGAGCTGCATGGGAATGTTGAAGCTGTGCAGGAAGTTCCCCCCAAACACCAGAGTGTCCACTGGGGTGTAGACGGCGTGGATCCAGCCTGCAACAAAGCAACACAGAGAGAGAGAGGGGGGCGTTAAAACTTCCCAGCTCAGGGAGGACACTGGAGAAGCCTGCCATAATATTTCCCAGAGGCCTGAGCAATTCTGAGGGTCAATTGCCAGGAGGAAGATAATTCAAGCTCGCAGTTACCCAGAGAGAAGCTGGACAGAGCAACGTCTGAAGTTTTATATTGCCTTTTTTTTTTTAACATGCACCCAGGACTAGGGAGTGCACTCGCCCCTGTTACTGCAGCGTGATTTTCATTCCGCTGATCGCAGCCTTCACCGAGCATGTTGGACAGAGACCACAGCCCCACGCTGACCACCCCTGCGGCCGCTCCCTCGAGAGACCTGCCCGAGGACATCACGAGCTCTTCTAAAGCCACTGGGGACTCCGCACAGCAACACTCGCGTCCAAACCAAACAGCAGAGGAAGAGCCAAAGAACCTGGCAGGACAGCTCTGCAGAAAAAGCACACCTGCTGTAAGAAAGGTGTGTTTTTACAGCTCCCTCGCTCAAAGGGCACGAAGACCCAGGGTCTGTGCGTCAGACTCGAAAGGGAAAGTACCAGCAGCAGTCTCGCACAAGACGCAGCAGTCGCGCTGTAAGCTGCAGGGGAGCCCGAACATCCCTCGGGGCAGCTGTCCTTGGTTCAGAAGTTCACGCAATTTTTTATTTTTTTTAGCAAAAGCTGAACAAATGTTTAGATGTCTTCTTGCCAAAATCGCAGGGGGGGAAAAAAAAATGAAGAGGCGGTCTCCTAGGTTACCATCGCGACCTTTTCCGACGCAAAGCATGATGGGATGGAAACACGTGCGCTATAGACCCCGAGAGGATTTCTTTTCCAGTCTTATTTGGGAAGATGATGCGGCCACGGGCGCCCTGTGTTGTAAAAAAAGATGCTCGAGATATACGATCCCCGACTGCAGCAGCAGCTCCGGTGCCGCGCCGGGAGAACGAGGGCCGCGAGTCGCGCTTCTCCAACGGCGGCTCTGCAGCAGCAGC